TATCTATTTCTGTTGAAGGGTATGCATCCAAATATAATACCACTTGTGTGTGCCTAGTAAAAGTATCAAAAAAAAAAATGATTTTGACCATTTCGACCATTTCGGATATCCGAAATGATCCATTTCGACTTCATGTATAGTTATGGCCATAAAACTATTTATTCAACCTACTAATATTTTAAACTATGCTATTAAGGTATATGTGTAATATTATTTAACAAAAAAAAAATAGCTAATTAATTATATTAGCCTAAGCCTTTAAAGATTTTCTTCAAATAAAGGATACTAATGATATTACAACTATCTATAAGATAGGAGAAATAACTATTGTAACTCAAAAAATCTTTAAGAATTGAAAATATGGCACAGTAAAAGTGATCTGCAAAATTAACCAGATCAGTTAATGAAGAAATGAAGTAATAAACCATTAGCTTATAATGACACACATAACCTTTTAAACTAGAAATTTCAAAATATGAACTTCAAGAAAAACTAGTTAAACGCTAAATATAAAGATGTAGTAATAATTTAAGAATAATATAATTATATGTTCTAAATCTCTTAAAATATATATATATTATAGTTATAGGATTATTGCATAGCGATTAGGTAGTCATTACTCAATTATTACAACAGAATTACATAGAGAAAGATGAGAAAATCATTACATAGTTTTTATGCAATAGATAGCAATTTAGTGTAGAAATTTTATTATAAATAAGCTGAGTTTTTTATTATGTATCGTTAGAAATTTAGGAAGAAATTTAAAGAGTAAAACTTAGGAAATTTGAAAGATAATTTATAAGTTAATAAAATTTTTTGCTAAATTGTCTCAGCAAATCAATCATCTGTGTCAAACAAATTTTTGTGTCAAATTACTAAGTATCAACCATGTTTAACTTTATTGATGTATTTGTGTTAATAAATCTTTTAAATGTTAAATATCTGCTTTGTATCAACTATCATGTTTAAGAGTTACCAACAAGTTAAAGTATTTAAATTGTGAAATACTTTAAGTTGAGTATCACCACTTGGTTATAATAAGTTTATTATAATGTCAATAAAGTAATTTCTCTAATGTCTTAGAAAATTACGAGTCACCATAGTGAATTAGAAGTCCTTATACTTACCAATTCAAAAACTTAATTATGAAAGTACACTGATATTAAGTGAAGTTCAAGTTAATTAAAATCTCTTCCAATTTATTATAAAGATTGAGCTAAATCTTGCTACTACTCAATTGATTACGTGTTTCAGTCTACCTAATCAACAGTTGGATAATAATAGGTATCTATGAAATCAGATAAGAATCAGTTTTAGAATTAATTCTAGGATATCATAAAATATTATATGCATTTTAAGTTTGCAAGGTCAGGCTTATATCAAATTATATCACTTTATTTCTTGATTTTTGATGGCCTTCTAGAAGGAAAGTAGAATAGCATAAAAGTTATTATATATATTAGATTTGTAAAGATCATAGACTTTATATTTTGTAACTTCATTTCTCAATATTTTCGTCTACTTTCAATGGCAATAGTATAGTATAATTTTTTTAATATATTAATTGGAATTAATTTCAGGCTAGAAGGTTTAAATTAAACAGTATAATTTTGGTATCTAAAAAACCAATTCCTAGCTAAGTTTAATATCAACACTTTTGATTAGCTAGATTTAAACCAAATCACATGAAAGGCTTAAATTCAATAATTGATTCATATATCTAAAATTGATTCATAGGTAATCTAAAGATTGAATTATCTTCTAATTTATCATCTGAATATTTGCATCATTTTATAAATCAGATATCTAGATTATTTTAGGTCATAAGTTTATTTAACTTAACCTTTATTATGACATGTTTTTGTTTTCATCAAAAAAAAATTTGTGGTAAGCTTTATTATTAGAATAACAATTATATTATCATTATTTGATAAGGCTTACAATTTATAGTTGAAAGCTAATATTTAAAGTGAATTTAGTAACAAATTAAAAATTATATAAAAATTCAGCTGGACTATGAATGTCTTCCATAATTAATTTTAACTAATTTGAATTTCTTAAAATTATCAAGCATCAGAAATCTGATTAAGACAATTGGATATCTGAATTGTTAAATCCGAAACTGAATCAAACTGATTTAATGCGGGTGATCTGGATGACCTAAAGCCAATTCTAATTTCTAAAGTAATCAGAAAATATTCTGGAAATTTTATCATAGAAGTTCCATTTTGGCTTTACTTATGCTTGTAGAATAATTATTTAGTCTAAGTGATAATATAATATAATATGCAATAAAGTAATATAATTCATATAATGATGTATCTTAAAAGTTAACTAAATCTGAAATAATAAATTAATAATATTTTTTAAAAAATAAAAAAAATATATTAGATATAATTGTGTTATAAATTTTATTTAATTTTTATATAAAATTTTATTTAATTTAAGAAGTATAATAGTATAATAAAATTTTATTTATTTTATTTTTAGTTTAAAATATTTTTAAATTTTGATCTTTAATTATTTGATTTGATATAATTTTGCAAAATCCTAATTAAAAAAAATAGTATATAGGTTAAATTATATAAATATCAACATTTTAAATAATAATATTATTTGAAATCTATTTTAACATTTAACTTAAAAATTTATAAACTTTTTAAAACCTTTGAAATAACTTTTTTTTTTAAATTTGAAATTTAATTAAACTTAATTGAATTTAAAAAAACCTATTAGAAGTTTAGATAAATATATTTATTATAAATAATTAGTTTAATCTTAAATATTTTAAAACTCAAATTTTCTAAAAATATTTTAGAAAAATATTTTTAATCTTAAGGATTTTTTCTTATGTTTATTCTTCTATTAATTTAAAATAAAAATTAAAATATGATCAAGACATTTATATCAAAAATTTTTTATTAATAAGAAGTAAATAATTTTAAAATAAAAATTAAAATATGATTAAGACATTTATATCAAAAATTTTTTATTAAAAAGAAGTAAATAATTATAAAATAAATAATAATTAAAAAAAAAAAATTTTTTTTAGATTAATAATATAATTTGCATTGATTTATAATATTTAAAAATTTTGTTATCTAAGATAAAAAATTAAAAGATTTAAATATAAATATATTAAAAAAAGCTGATTTTCAACTATTCATTCTGAAATTTTTTTATATTTTATCTAATAATTTTAAGAATTAAAATATAATAAAAATCTTAATTTTATTAAAAAATTCTCAAAACCTAATTTTTCTATCTTTTATCTATATGGAAGGTAGTCAGTAAAAAAGGGAAAAATCCAAATTTTAGTCAAAATTTATATTATTGAATCACTTGGCTGATCTTAGTCATATGCACTAAAGATGAGAAATGAAACCTAAAAAAATAATAAACAGGCAAAATTATATTAAAACATAATGAGGGATATGACGAAACTCTAAAACCTGAAATTAACCAAAACTATATTAAAAACATAGTAAGGGATATAACAAAATTATTTTGAGGAAGTTTCAGCAAGCATCTTTAATGTGCATAAATTTACTTAATAATGAAAATTAACAAAAATTTTGGATTTTTTCCTTTTCTACTGACCTTCTCCTATATTATAAAATTAAATTGATAAGTTTATTTAAAAGATTTATTATAAATTAATTTAAATTTTACTTATTTTTAAAAAATAAATGATTCTTATAAAATTTTAAATAAAATATTTTTTTATTAGTCCGAAGCGTAGTGAAGGACTATATGGGAGCTTTGCAATAAAAAGGGAGGAAACTCTAAAAAATATTAAAATTTTACTTTATAAGCTAATTATGATTTTTTTTGTAAAATAAGTTCAGATTTAACATTAACTCAAAAAAAAATTTTTTTAGAGTTTCCTCCCTTTCTATTGCAAAGCTCCCATATACTTCTATGCCATATGACTCATATGTCCTGCATTCCCCCCGCTCAATATTTGAGTCGATCTGTTATTGGTCACAATTGTTGTACAATTACGAAATAATCCTATGACCACAAACCTAAGTATTGGGAGTTTTTCACTTCGGACTTTCTAACGGTTTCCGTTACCTAGTAATTATTTCAAAAAAAGATTTTTTTAAAATATATAATGTATTAGAATAATTCTTTTATAATTGTTTAAAAAAATGGTTAATATTTTTTGATTAAATTTAATTAATAAGAATTTTTTTTTATTTACTAATTATTATAATATACTACTAATAATGTTTTAAAAAACATATTTATTTATTATTTATTATAATATTTATTATTTTTATTTTATCTTTTTTAAAAAAAAAAATTATATTTTTTAATTATAATATTAGGATATAATCTTATTTACTAAAATTCAATGATAAGTTGAAGGTGATAATTTAGAATCATATGACTTTTCATATTCGTGTTTGTCACACAGTTATCACTGTTCACAATTGTCACCTCGACCTGTCACATGAGAAATTCGAACACGAAAAATCCACGTCCCATTTATTCTTGCCAAGTTACAATTATATACGTGATGTTATCCCGTTATTTTATTTGAGATTCATTTCTTAAAAGATATCAAAAATAACCAAAAGTGGCTTCACTTTCTTATGGTGTCTTAAATATAATTTTACGTAGAATCAAAGTTTGGCTCATCATATTGGAAAGGTTTATTGTATGACACAGTCCTTATTACTTTTTTCATTACGTTCGTTTTTTAATTTATTTTGATTTTGTAAGTGATCTAGCCGTGTAATTGTTCCACCACGAGCCAATCTTTGTTTTGCGTCCTCATTTCCGTGTTCAGCCGCCTAAAGTTTAAAAGTAATTAAAAAAAAAAAATTAAGAGAACACGCATATATGTTTGTGTAAATTTTTTTCTTACCTTCTTATACCAGACACTGGCATGATTAGGATTAACAGGTACATGAATGCCAACATCATGGAAGTAGCCCATTGCAAATTCTGCTGCAGCCAAACCTTTCATCGCAGCTTTCTCAGCATGTTCATACGCCAATGCTTCATTTTGTTCAAAGAAACCTTCCGCACCACATAAATACCATTTGCTTAATGCCATATCTGCTTCAACATCCCCCTTTTCTGCTGCTCGCTTATAATATGAAACAGAAAGTATTGGATCAAATTGACAACCTAAAGTAGCATATTCATAACAATGTCCCATCTTGTACAATGCTGGAACATATCCCAAATTGGCAGCTCTTTGAATATATTCCTTCGCTTCATGATCATCCGGCGCAACAACTTGATCCGGTATTTCAGCCTTATCCCATTCTCTTGCTAATATCATTCCGTATACATAAGCACCATTTGGACATTCCTCATTTGCTTTTGTTGCTGCTGATTTTAAATATATTAAAGCTTGGTTATAATCGGGTTCAGTTTTTAAGTCACCTAGTAAATAAATCAAAGCAAGCCGCTGTTTTAAAATAATAAATTAGTACAAAAAAAAAAGAAATTTATAAGACATCACAATCTATATAAACTTACATATAAAGCAGAAACATCTCCATTTGAAGCAGATTTCTTATAGAATTGTAATCCTCGCTTTACATCTTTATTCTTTTCATAATGTTCAGCAACCTTATAAATTGCTTTTGGAAAATCTTGTTTAGAAGCTGATAAAAATAATCTAAAAGCTTTATCATGACTAATCTCTTTACCAAATTTACCGTATTCATACCAATTACCTTTTATATACATAGCTTCGGGATTATCTTTTTTTGCCAATGAATTAATCCAATAACTTATTTCTCCAACTAATTTATTATAATATTCCTGATTACTATTATTAACTTGCTCATTATTTTTATTACCGCCAGATGCATCATGACACTCAATCATATTAATGAGAAATTTAGCATAATCAAGTTGAACATTTGGATCATTGGTTTTTTTGGCAGCATCCCTGTACTTTTGTAACGCATTTTCATCCTTGACAAGAGTATTAGAAGTCATTGTCTTGCGCCTCTCAAATTTATCGTCAATTAAAAGACGTATATTTGTGTTTGGCAGATTCCTTACAACTCCACGTTCTGGAGTAGAAGATCTTTGGTCCCAGTTGCCTCTATTTAAGGAAGATGGTATTGGAGCTCCATCCGGGCCAACTGAGACGGCACCAGGAGATGGCTGACGAAAGAAACCTGTTGATGATGAACTTTGATAAATATTGGGTGAGCCTTGACGATATTCAGGCATTGAAAATTGACCTTGAGAAGATGCATTCCAAGGATTTTGAATTGGCGATATAGGTGAATTTGAATTTGATATTGAATGATCATTATGCGACAATTGAGTTGAAAAGTGTTGAAGAGGTGTGGAAATTTGTGTTGACGAATTCGGTTCTGAACCGACTTTATTGTTTTGATGATAATTGGTTTGTTGTCCCATTTGATTTGGATACTGTTGCTGCTTCATCTGCATATATTGTCCTTGTACCGTTTCCTGTGAATTACGAACTGGATATTGACTTTGCTGTTGAATGTTATTTACATTCTGAGGAAAAGATTGTTTAGGTGTAGTATGTATAGAAGAAGGTGGAGTTGATTGCGGACTTTGATGATGGGGACCATTTACTGAGCGGACATCTGTAATAATATTAAATCAAATCGTAATAAGTTCTTAATTTAACTTGAATCAAATTACAAAAAAAAGTTTCCCTACTTTGATAATTTCCATTAGGTGGCATCGCTTTATATTGTGGTATATTATCATGTTGGTAATATATGTTTTGTTGTTGCTGTTGCTGTTGCTGTTGTTGCTGTGAGTACGGCTGTGGCTGATGTTGTGAGTACTGTTGCGAGTATTGTTGTTGTTGTTGCTGTGAGTACTGCTGTGTTTGCTGTGGTGGGTGTTGTGGATGGGTTTGATTTTGATCAAGTTGTCGTTGATTTAGTGGAATATTAGAAGATTGATAGTATTGATTATTATTTATGTTTTGTTTATTCGAAATAATATCACGATTATCTTGGAAAAGTAATTCTTTAGCGCCTTGTTGTAACTGAAAAATTTGATTTTCTTGAGACGCGATTATATTTGATCGCGACTCAATGTTATTTTGTGGTAGAGGACTTTGATCTTGATCCGAAGCTAAATTCAACTTTTCATCATCACCTGTATACCAACTTTTTGGAGTGTCAGAAGTTGTAGGAATATATGGCATTTCATATTCATTTACACCTGAATATTGCGTTTCTAAAGCATTCTTTGTTACAGTAGATATTGGTTTTTGTGGTTTAGGTGAAACTAAAGGTGGAAAAGATTGATCGGATGAATTGAACGTATATTGTTGAGGTGGTATAAAATTTTGTGGGGTAGAGTTTTGAATTGGATATTCAGAAACACTACCAAGACTATATTGTTTTTGATGTTGGTAAGGAGCATCTCTCGATTCCTTTGAATTATTATTGGAACCACCAGGAAGTGGTCTCGGCCCAACGACAGACCTAGTCCTGGGTAAAGTTGGACGAGGACGTGTTTCATTTCCGTCACCACCTGAAAAGTAATAGGCATTTTGATTTTCGGCCATTATCATTTATTATTGATTTTAAATTGGTTTTTTTTTACTTGTACAATATGAAAAAAACAATAGTAGAAGTTAGGTTTTTTTTTTTTCCTTATTAAAAATTTTTAAGCTGAACAGGCTAAAAGAAATAGAATTAATGAGAAGAGGAGCAAAAGGAATTTTTTTTGTGAATATATATATTTTTTTAATCCATCACAAGCCACTCAAATACATAATGTATCACCAAATAAAAAAATTAATTGCCTCATGCATATATGAAACGGGAAAGTGGCTCATATATAAAGATTTCCTATTTGTGTTTTAAACGAGAAAAAAGAATAATCCATCGAAAATTTCCGTCTTTTTTTTTCCCTGTTATGGATTCTTTGTTGTACAGATCTTCGGTCAGGTTTTAAACTTTAATGCCTTATGCTTTATAATAATATTTTAAGTTCCGTCGCACAAGGGAAAGGCAATCAACTCAATTTATAATCTCTCTCCTCCTCTCTCGAATTTATGCTTGTGTTAATTTCGTTCCGGTTTACAAATAATCCTGAAATAGAAGCAATTTTATATCATAAAAAAAGTGTTTTATGCTAGTTAGAAAAGATCGACATCGAACTTATATGCATGCAGAAATTCATGTAACTTAGTAACGTGTTTTTTATATAAAATCTAAAAAAGAATTTAACCTATGATCAAGGTTCATATATTTTTTAATAGAAAAGTGATTTTTATTGCTTATTGAAATATATATATATAAATATTTATTTGTGTATGTATCTCAAGATCTCTATTACCTCATATCAACTCATCAAACATCTATGATTTACACGTGTTTCCATTTTAAGGTACTGATGTTACGTCAGCGAGACACAAATGAGACGAGGGAAGATTAAAAAGAGATGAAAATATGAAAGGTGCGGACAAAGTTTATTCAATCAAAAATTTATCATTCGGTCCTAAAACTTTCTTTTTGATCACGAGTCTCTCCGTTTGATCCCGACTCAGATTTTATTCAATATAAGAGTCATGTGATACTGTATGAGTCAATTCTGCGGAATTCAATGATCTGCTGTGCAAATGATCAAGAAAAAATCACTATAAAAGTTGTTCGGTCATGTTCGGACTTTATTTCTAGGCTCTCTTCCCTCAAATTTTTATACTTATTGTATTTGTAAAGTGAACAAGGGCCTAACTTTAATAAAGGCAATATAAAAAAAAATTTCATTTAAACTTTTGTTTAAAAAAAAAAAGTGAATAAAGAACAAGTTTATAAAGTTTTCCTCATCACTACTACGCGTTTTCAAATTTTTTTCTTTTGTTTTGTCGATTTAGTGAACGAAGAGAATGTGAGTGGCGAAGTAGTATAAACTAAACTTTGCTTAAATTTATGTGTCCCAGAAAAAGAGTTCCAAAAAAAAAAAAAAAAAAAATGTGTTGAATATGTTGACAAGTTCTTTGAATCAAAATGTCAAAACTGCAAAATTATTGTTTAATTTTAATTCTTTTTGTAGTTTTTTTTTTGAGAATATTGTTTATTCTATTTTTCTTTTTAACCTGCTTATTACTTGGTTTCTACTTTGGCAAATCTCGAACCATTTATTTTTTTTTTTTTAACTCGCGCAGCACTCCAAAGATTCCAATTTCACATTTCACGTGAAAATATAGTCATTCGTTTCGCTCTCAATTTACTTCAATGGAAGAACAGGATCATTTGCCCAGTACTTCAAATTCAAATGCTCCAGAATCGGAATCTTTCGAGTTCATTGATTCCAACACTGAAGTTGCTCCAAGAGAAAATGATGATCTTGAAGATTTAGCTAATGAATCACTTGGTAACCTTTCTTCTTCGTTTATTCCTTTCGTTCACTTCCTTCATTTTATGGATCTTATAATATCTTATTCGTTTTTTTTTAAAAAAAAAATAAAAATAAAAATAAAAATCTTATAGGAGAAGATTCGGAATCGGAATCGGATTTGGGTGAAAGTGATGTTGAACAAGCGCTTGACGATGAGAGTGATACAGCATCTCAACGCCTTGCCAGGGTTCGTAATTATGAACGTTATCCATTCATTTTTCCTGCCAATTTTCATGTCATGTACATTGGAACAGATGTACCTGTTCAAAGTAAACATGCTATTTTCTCCAAGATTAGCGAAAGTTTATCCCAGATTTTTTGGGATGAAGCAGAAGGTGCACTTAATGATATTGGTTTTGAGAAGAGACTTGTTGTATGTCCTGTCAGCAATATTCCTCAAGATGGTAGACCTCAAGTTGAATACTTTCAAGACTCAGAAGTTGCAATTTGTGAAGCTGATCTCACAAATGGACCTTACAACAAGGCATTCGAATTTTTGCAGAGAAAATTTGCAAAGTCTGATCAAGACTCTGCTTTGATTGATTTATGCGTTGTCTTTATACCTCAGGACGTTTCACCTTTAGATGAACATTTCCGTGAACAACTTTTGCCTACCATGAAAAAATTGCAGGAACAGGTTACTTTATTACCGATTATCAATGATCAGGAACTTGCTTTCAGGGACGAAAAGGAAGAAAGACGTCGGGCCATTTTAAAATCTTTTGAAGACAAGGGAATTGAAATATTTACGTGGAAAGCTGATCAAATGATTCAAGATAGAGATCGTAATGGGGAATGGGTAGAAACTGTGTACACGAAAAAAGTTTTGTTCGTTAATGAATTTATTAAATTTGAAAATCAAGTTATTTATGAAGATTTACAACTTTTGCGCTCACGTGCAATTGAATTCAGAAAAGATCGACTGTGTAATGAACAAGCGAAGAAAAAGGCTCAAAAGTATGATAGATATGCTGCCATATTAAAAGAAATTATTATTAAGTGTATGATCGTCTACACAGTTTATTTATTCTTCACTGGCGTCTGGAATTACGCGGAATGGGCAGTTATTCCTTCTGATTTGAAATCTTCTCTTCAAGCCGTGTCAAGAGCATCTTTAAAAACCCAAAATCAAAATAGACTTCAAACAATATCCCTCGACAATGGTGAAACTCAACCTTTTATTGAAGTATTTCAAGAATCTTCGAGTAGGTTCGTGTTTAATATAATGAGCAAAAAAAGATATGTCAGAAATCGAAAGGATGTCTTTGAGGTCATTGTCACACATCATCCACCTCAAATCTTGGGTCGTTATGATGTCCAAGAAATTGATGAAGGTCGATATGCGTTTGAAATCGACACTAGTGGCTCAAAAGGTGAAGTTTTAGTTGAAATCAAGGAAAAAAATGGTTCATCAATAAAAATCATTACTTGGAAAGATAAAGGTGAAGACAAGAAAAGGAAGAATGATACGCTTGAAGAGCATAAAGAAGAGCCTACTGTCATGGAGTATGTTCAAGGCAGAGCTGTCGATGCTTACCATAAGGTTTCTTATTACTCTAAATATACATATGAAAGTGCAAAAATCTATATGGTTTACACTGTAGAAAGCATAGCAGATGCATATTATAGAGTCATTATCTATATAAAACATCAATTGAATGATTTTTACCATTTTGTCTTGGATAATATTGATTATTTGGCACCAATTATTTGGGATAAAGTTTCGAAATTGAAAGCTACTACAAAAGAATATCTTGAAGTAGGGTATTTAAAGGCAGAAGAAGTTTATTTTAAGGTAGAAGGAGGAGTATTTAATTTGGCGCGATTTTTAAAGGATCAATATGACGAATTTTATGAGCCTTTTTAAGTTATTCTCTTAGTGAGTTCTATTTTTTTTTCTTTCTCTTCTCCTTTATTTAAATTTTTCTATTGTTTTTATTTTCATTTGCTAAATTTAGCTATTTTAACTATCAATTTCTTTCTCTGATTTTTTTTCTTTAGCATATTGTTATTATTTAGTTGTTTAAATTAGCTATTATCATGTTATGGCAATTTTCTCCATTTTATTTGATTTCTTTTTTTATTATTTTTCGATTTTTATAGCTTTGGTTGCTTTTGAGGTTTGAATATATCGATTAAATATAAAAAAATTTTTTTTTCGTGTATATGATCAGAAAGTAATTTTTATTTATTTTTTATTTATTTTTTTTTTTGTAAAAATATTAAGTTTATAAGTATTATTTGTATATATATATATTTTTTTTTTTTTTGTTGACATGGATAAGTTCAAAATAGGACCCGTACTTGAAAAAGAATGAAATTGTATAAGTTTACGATATTGATCTGAAGATTTTAATAAAAATCACGTAATTTTTTAATTAATTAAGATTTAAGCTATTTCATTTTTAATCACTGCTATTACATTACATATGTACAATATAGATCACGTAATAATTTTATTGAATACTTTTAAAAAACCTGATTTTAAAAAATATATTATTTATATAGCATAATTAACAATTTATATTCTAAAGAATTATAATTTCTTGATTTGAATTTAAGTAATAAAAATCTAGTTCAATTATTATAGCCAAATTTTGTTCTCTTTATTTTCTCCTATAAAGCCAATTTTAACTATAAATTAAATAATATTCAATTAAATAAAAATTTCAAAATTCAAAATTTTTAGTTTTGGTTATTTTGATTAAAAATTAGTAATACAACTAATGGTTCATTTAAAATAATATTATAATCAAGGTATTATTTAATTAGAATAATTTAAATATCACTTATAAATATTATTTAATATAATTTATAAACTAAATGTTAAAAATTTTTTATCTAAAAAAAAAATAATTTAAAAATATTAAAATAAATAAAATGATTTCAAATTCATCTAATTATTTAATGATTTATGTAAATAAATTTTATTATAAAATATTAAAATTTTAAATATAATTTAAATTAAATAAAAAACCAATTTAATTTATTATAATTTAATTATTAATAACATTATATTCTATTACTTAAGGATAATACTTATTTTATTTTTAAAAAAGTAAATTTATCTTATTAAAATAATTTATTTATTAATTTAAAAAACATATATATATTTAAGAATAAATTTTGTTTCAAAAATCATTATTAAATCAAATCAGTTAT